TTGGGGGGGTTTGCAGCCCCCCCTGGGGTTGAGTCGCCGCCGCTTAATTTATTTGCTATTTATTGCAGTTCCTTTGGATAAGTTAATTTTTTTCTCTTTTTTTTTTCTGTTGAAATAAAAACCTTAAAAACACCAAATTGAGTTTAAAGGTTTTGAACCATCCCTGAACCTGCAAATTTGGGGGGGAGCCCCCCCCCAGTGCCCATGTGGGGAGGAGCAAGGTCAGAGCTTCCCAAAGTTTCATCAATAAATCAATTTATTTAAAAGAATATGTTACAATTAATTACACTAAGTGACATTTCCCAACCGAGAAACCAAGGGAGGAAAACACTTGGAGCAGCTGGAGGAGGGAAAAGGGGAAATGGGCAGGTGGTTTTGAAATGATTTCTCCTTTTTCTGCGTGTTTTGTCATTTTTTGGTTACGTTTTGCCTCAGAAATAAAACCCACATGAGACTGCAGTGAAAATCGTGGAATTCTCCCCAAGAAATGCCAACCATCAGAATCGGGATGAGAGGGTGGAATTTCCCCTGGCTCCACCCCCAGCCTGGGGTCACTGCTGAGCCCCAACGTGGGTTTGGGGGTCCCAAACCTCTCCCAGTCTCCCTCTTCCCAGGTCTTCCACAGCACAGCTCCCAGGGACAATGTGAACCCAATTAATCCAGCACTGAGGTAATTAATTCCTCCCTCCCAGGATTTGTGAGGATCCCCAAAAGCTCCCCCCCCCGCGAACCCTTTCCCTCACCCATTTCCTGGTTCCAGCCTCTGAGGGTGGATAAACTCTTCCCAGAAGGGGAATAAATGGGACGCACAGGGTGCTCATTCCAGGGGCTGGGAATGCTGCCACAATCCTCCATGGATGTGTTTGGTACCTTGGAGGGGGAAGCAGCAGCACCCAAATATCCCCAATTCAGCCCAAACCCCAGGGGTAGGCAGAAGAGCAGCTCCAAACCATTCCAAACACAGGGAAAAGGCCTTTTCCAGGGTATTTTCCCACCTGATCCATGGGCAGACCATGTGCCAAGGCTACCCCTGGAATCCAGAGGATCCCATCCCAGGAGCCACACATCCCCCTGGTCACACCAAATCCACGTGCAAACACCTAAGATCACCCACAGAGCAGGAATACAAATCCAGAAGCTTGGAAACATGTCTGGATCCAAGTGCCAGGAGAGGCTTTGCCCTGGAATTCTACCTTTTTCCTGTTTTTTTCATCCCTAAGGTTAGTGATTAACTGGTGGATTGGGAGGAGAAATGGGTGTAAAAACCTTTCTAAAAGGTGCTGCCAGCCCTCTGGAATGTCAAAGGAATTATCTCCAGGGATATCCTGGCAGGAATGGAACTTTCTAGGACCTTTTTTGATATGTTTGAGCTGTGAAAATAGAGATCTTTCATTCCAGTTGTAAAACTAAACCACATTCCATGGCTTGGAATAGGATCCAAGTGGGAAGAAGAGCCTGGACCCCCCTCAGGTGGCTTCTCCATGCCTGGTTTTCCCTCTTTTTCTTGCTCTTTAATTCCATAAACATTGACAGTCACAAATGATATTAATTAATAATATTTAGTTTTGGGGCTTTAATACAATAAGAGATTTGGGTGTTAATTGGGGATTCCAGGGGGGAATTCCAGGGGTTAAGTGGCTGCATCCCTCTGCTGTGACCGCACCAGCTGGAAAATGTTCTGGAAAAAAAGGAAAAGGCCATGGTCAAGGTGCTGGCACAGGGGGCAGGATGGGCCAGGGTGGGGGCTGGGGCAGCAGGAGAGGTCAGGAATGCTCCTGATCCCAGCACGGAGCAGGGGTGGGCAAGGAGCCCCTGGGAACTGCAGGGACCCCTTGGGAAGCTCCACTCTCTCCCAAGCATCCTTCCCTCTGGAAAATGGCCTGGGGCTGCAAATAACCCAAAGGATGGGAAAAGCCAAGTCTGGAGGCTCTCGAAGCCCTTCCCAAGTAATTCATTTGGGAACAGGTGAGCCTGGGAACTGGCCCAGGCCCTGCATGAGGCTTT